AAAGTCACCAAGCGCGGCGTGTTCATTGACCTTTTTGCTACCACAGTGTGCGCCGGCACCACGGGCGCTGTGGACATCTGTTTGGTGGACAAGGCAGGTCGGTTCACCATGACTGGGGAGGACGCACACCAGAGACTAACAGCCGGCAGCACGAGGCCCACAGGCCCGCTGATCATTGCGTCTCCCTCACATTGGTGGGGGATCATCGCCGCTCTGGAACTTCACGCCACACTCCACAAGACCATCATCAGTTGGGAGGCTCTTTAGCAGTCCTACGGGCTTGCACAGCTTGGACTACAGTGCAGGCCGCGTGATGACTGCGACACGGCTTCGGAGTTCTACGAGAGGTGGTCTGTTAATTGCATGCCGCCGCTCTGCGATTCCTGTGCGTTGGTCGCTCATTGTGGAGTGCCCGACCACCCTGTGCAGCTGCTTCTGCGCGGCGTGGATTTCGTGAACAGTGGTCCCACCGGGCAACCAATTACAGTGCGCCCCTTCTTCCCTGTTCTCGGCACCAAGCACCCCATTATTGGGTTGCTGGAGTTTACCAATCCGCCTCGCATCGGTCTCCACCGCCTCCGTGCTCACAAGGGGGGTGGCTTGCAGCCGCCCAAGCGGGCTTACAGTGCCCTCCTTTCCCAACACCACTTCTAAGGGCGGTGGGTTAATAAGTAGATACATAAGTTAGTAATCGATTGTACAGTTTAGTGGGGATGGCTAGTCTAACATAGCAATTGACCTAAGTGCAGTTAGCAAGGTACAATTACAGAAGTTAGCCAAACACAGTTAACGAAGTTAGCATTTTACTAACAGCACCTTAAAACCATGATGATGCCCATGAGGATGATGAAAAATCCAATGTCGCAATGCAGGGCGATTCGCTCGCAGGCAGGATCAGAACATGAAAACTGTGACAATTCATGTGTCGCCATGCAGGGCGATTCGCTCGCAGGCATATATGCACAACAATCTTTTTTATGGCACGACCAGCATGCTGTCTGCACTCATGCGTTTGAAGAGGCAGGTTCGACTGATCTCGGCCACTCGCATGAACTGGGCTCCGTCCTGCTTGACCCGAAAGAGATTCTTCCCTTGTGGCTCAAGCACACTCAACAGAGCCAGGAGCTCGCCATGCTGCAACCGGCAAAACAACCACACCTCTGCAACGGACCCCGTCTTAAGCAGCACCAGGTCACCCCTCTCGCAAGTCTGTCCTGGGCAGACCTCGGCCTGCATGGCCGACTGCACATGCTCAAGAGTCTGAAACCCGAATGTCTGCCCCAGGTGCCACAGCAAAGTGCCATCAGTGACAGACTTGGGGGACTTCAAATGGGGCCGCATGAAGCCAGCATGCTCAGACGCGCCAGGCGCAGTCTATCTTTCTGCTATTGCCTCGGACACCGTCAACCGGACGCTGCTGGGGCGGCCAGCAAATGGTTTCTGCGCTGCTGCGCAACCCGAACCAGCCTGAGGCCCTCCTCCCGCCGGTTGCCACAACGGGCCTGTCGCGTGCCCTCTACGATACCGCCGGATTTGCTAAGCCCGACCCGGAGGACTTGACCGCCGAACTTCGTAGTCAAAGTTGTGCTGCCTCTATTCCTAAAGCCCCCACTGCTACGTGGAAGGAAAAGGTGGCTGCACTGCTGGACGCCGTGGAATACCCGCCTATAACCGATTGCTACCCGGCGTCGACGCCATTTCCAGCAACTGCGTTCCGCCTGAAGATGAGGATGACTTCGCGGAGCAGCACGACATCCTCCGCAGCTACCAGACCAAGGGCAGGCAGCAGTCGCCAATTGACGGCCCTGCAAGCGCGGCTGCGCTGCACCAACTGCTCCCCAACCGGACGGACTGCCTTTCCCTTCTCTCGCTCGACTCGCTGCCTCTCTCCTTGCCGGCGTGCGAAGTTAAGGTCAGCCCTCAGAATTTCGGAGCCAGGGTTGTCGATTTTGCAGATCGTGCGCTAATGCTTCGTCACTGTACGGAAAGTGAGGCTTTCCGCGTGTGCCTCACTCCCCTGCTTGCAGTTTCCATTGCGCTGGCGCAGTTTTGCGACCCTGTATTGCGGTTACCTGAAGGGCGTGTCTTCGACCTTTCGTGGTACGAGTTGGCTCGCCCGGAGATCTGGTGGTGGTTTTTCTTGGACGAGCGATTTGTGTACTTGTTCACATCTGTTTTATAGTTTATGTGTGCGAACATTTTGGCTCACAGTATTAGTTGTGCTTGCTGGCGGTTTTTTCGAATTGCATTTAGCCGACATGTGCGGTCCACGCAATAGGTTTGCAACAGTTGCGAACTCTCTTTGTTTCATGTCACATGGCAACAGAACAGTAAACAGTACATCACGCTTGCTTCGCTCTGTAGAACTCCTCGTGCCGGGGGGGGGGAGCGGGCACCCCCACAAGTGGGGTGAATGGCTTGATCGCTCCGGGCTCTCAGAAGTCCTCGTGCCTGCTCCTTTCAGTGGGGGTGCATGGAAGCTTCCACTCAGACACCAGATATCTTTGATCTTGAAGAGCGTGTGTTTGCACTTGAAGTCAGCCGAGCCGGGCACTCTAATCATCTTTCGCAGGTTCAAACGTGGTTGAATAGGCTTGAGAATCGCTTGCAAGCTGTGGAGCGCGACATTGCTCTTATCATTGGCTTGCAGCGCAGCATCCGGCAATTGCGTAGAGCTAACATTCTGCTTTTGCGTGCACTTCAAGAGAGCCGCCGTAACTACGCATCTCTGGCACGCCGGGTGGCACTTTTGGAGGTGGCAGGTTTGTGATAGTCATGAAGCGGCCTCTTGACCCAGACGATAGGTCACATGAAGCCTCCGCCAGTGCCAGCGAACCAATGACCAGATCCTTGCCATTTCAAGTTCCAAACCCTAGACCCAGTAGGCCCGCTCCTGCCATTCCCGCGAAAGGTTTGGACGTGGCACCTGAGCCTTCATCGTGCGTTTCCTTCGAGGTGTTCCCGGCCGGGGACCCGTTGCCTGCACCATCAGTGCGGCGTACAAGCTTCGGAGATTCGGCGATTTCGGATGCATCCTGTTCGGGTTTAGGCCCTGCCCTGCCGGGTTCCTCTAAGCTTAAGCCCCCTGTAATGCCTTCGGAACGATCAAAAACACCAAAAATCAGTGAAAATGCCTCTCGCAGCAAAGTGGCACGTGCAGCTTTTATGGCATTATTTTCTATTCTTGGCAACTTGAGCGCTTTGGGTGCATCTTTGCAAGAAAGCAGTCAGGACCACGTGGGTCGCATCCTTCAGATGTTTGTAGCAGCCACCGTCATACGGTACAGCTCAGCCTTCAGATCCCTTGCTGACACCATTTTGGATTTGGGATTTGCTTTGGAAACATTGACATCGGTCCAGCTTGCTGATGCTCTTGTCGTCTTAAGCTTAGCGCGCAGCAGTGACCCGGAGTCGGGAACACACTCAGCGACCGCAATCAAGGCCATCCGGTGGGTTAAACGTATTTTCGAAGTCGCATGCTTTGATGTCGCGTACTCACCCTTGATTGGCAGTTTCCTGAAATCCAAGATTCCCCGTGAACGTAAAGAGGCGGTGCCCTTGTCTCTTTATGTCGTCACACAGTTTGAGCGACGCTTGCTGATGCAAGAAGCTACGGATGCCGAGGTCCTCATCCTTGGGGGGTTCTTAATCTTGATTTGGGGTTCCATTAGGTTTATGGACGGACAAAGAGTTCACTGGCGATCCCTGTCCTATGACGGCTCTACACTGAGGGGCTCGTGCTATCAAACAAAAACAACATCCCAAGGACAACCATTTGGGGTCCTTTGCCAAGGATTGCTTAGTCATGGATCTTTCACATGGGTGCATAGATTTCTTCGGACTTTGGACAAGGTGGCGTGCATGCATTGCAGCCTTCACCCGGGCCATCCCTTGCCTTCGAGTCTCCTTTTATCGATTGGAGCTACAGGGGTCCCTGTTTACCCTTTGCAAGCCATGGGATACGCGGCTGCACTTAGGCACCTTAGGTATGCAATTTCACTCCCGTGGAAAAAACATAAGACCCCCGTCCCTCACGAAGTCCAACTTAATTACACAGTGCACTCCCTGAAAACCACCCTCCTTTCCTGGATGGGTCAACGTCCTGAGGTTCAGCCAATCGAAAAGCAATGCCAGGGGCATCATAGGCTTAGCTCATCCCAGCTTTATTCGCGTGAAGACATTATTCCGGCGCTGCGAGGTCAGCAGAAGCTGAGATTCGCCATAATCGGCGGAGCCAGGTTCCTTACCCCGCTCCACAGAGGCTCTCAGCATCCGTTGGAGGAGCCACCAGTGCAGATTGAGTCGTTCAGCAAGGCAGCAGAAACCACTTCTTTCGAGCACTTTCCACAGTTCGTTATGAAGGAAGGGTGGCATCTTCCTGAGTTCGAGAAAACGTCGGAGTTACCTAAGCCGGTTGACCCAGCACCCTTGTGGGATGTGCAATCATCCGATGAAGAATCATTGGACAGCAGCGGCGACGAAGCACCCAAGCTCCCCGACCTAGGGGATCCTGAGGAATTGGTGCTTGCATCGTGCACAGGCGTGCACCATGCTATGGTTCCTTCCTCAGGAGCCTCTGCGACCACATATCGTGGTAAGGGCCTGCGACCTGCTTGTGGCGTTCGCTTGTATGCAGACAATATTAACTGGCGCGAGCAGTATTCTCCCGAGCTCACATTGTGCAAAAGACGTGCATGCTGCATAATCCTCGGTCGTTGTGGGATCTCGGACTCGTGAGCAATCAAAGCAAAAAGAGTGGTCAGGCTCACATTTCAAGGGTCATTCATGCAGTCTCAGCGTCATGTGCATGCACTCTGTCAGTTCACTTGTTCAGCCAGGCACCAGAGAAGTTCCTTTTTTCTTTTGGTCTTAGCAGCGGCTCAAATGATTGGGGTTTCTGTGGATCTTTCAGGAATTCCCAACCTTTCAGGCGGTTCTTTTTGGTAGCTTCTATAATCTACTTGCTTCAGGGTCGCTAGGGTCCACAATAGCCTTTTGCTATGGAACTGGCTGAGCTCTTGAAGTCCGAAGGCCTCTCTGACGAGCTTGCCGATCTGGCAGTGGCAACGGGGTGGAAGTCATCCACTTTCAAGCATGCTGTCAGCAAATTGGCGGATTTAGATTCTGTGTTGGGCGAAATCTTTCCAGAGAAAGCTCTGACAGTTCTTCAGAAGGCCACTATTCGATCGGTTTGGAGTAAACTGCAGGAGTCAGAACCCTCGGGTTCTACAGCCTCTGCATCGCCTCCTGTGCCAGAGTCTCGGGAAGGATCATGGGTGGAATCTTTTGCCCCAAAGATATCAGCATCTTCAATTTCTGAAATGAAACGGAAGTATCTGGTAAACTATCCGTCGGAGATCATCAACTACTCCACTCAGCCCTCAACCAGATTGCTGAGCTTAGCATCGCACCAGCAGAACAAGAAGGATTGGCGATGGATCCCCTGGAAATATCGAATGACGGAAGAGCGAGCTTCTGAGATAATGATGTCCCGGCCCAACAAGCAACCTCGGCTTGAGGCTATCGGGCTCTCGGGGATGTTATTGGACGAACCTCCAGCTCTGGAAATCCAAGATCATTCCATGGGTGTGAATGCTATTCAGAAGCTTATGAATGTGCATGACGTGGCATTGGCAATGGTGGGAACCGCCCATCTCGCCAGGCTGAAAGGATATACAACAAAATTCATATCTCTTCTGACTCAGAAATTCGATGCTTCATCAGGACTTCGGCCACCATCAGTCTTTTGAAGCACAACAGGCGGATTGCCGCTTGTGGCAGGGCATGATCACCCTGGTCACCGACAAAGGATGGACGATGGATGATGTCCTCTACGAGTTCACCGAGGTGCGGGGCGAGATGGCCAGCCTGCTTCAAGCTCGAGCGCGTCCTCCTCCCGTCCCCAAAGGCTGGGAAGGCAAGGGCAAAGCTGTCAAGGGCTTGGGTAAGATGCTCGTGGAGTCCTATGCCAAAGGCTACGCATCGCAGGCGTCTGTCAAAGGCAAAGGGAAGGACAAAGGCAAGCACAAGGAGGCTAAAGGCGGCTCCAATATCAACTTTGTGAAGTCGATCATGGTGGGGTCTGAGTCCAAACCATTGTGTGTGAATTGGCAATTGAGCCGTTGCAATCGTGGAAACGCGTGCCCATTCGTGCACGCTTGTGCCTTCCCGAAATCCAATGGGCAAGCTTGTGGAAGCAAGGCGCATACGGCGCTGCAGCACGAGAGTACTCCCCACTGACTTAGCCCCAATCCCGTAGGCATGCCAGGGGTGATTTCTTCGGACCATCTCCCCTCACTCGTATCACCACAATATTCTTCGGATCACATGTCAGTGTCTTCGCAGAACGAGACAGCGTCACTTAATTTGCATTCCCAGCCGCCAAAGAGACTTCGAATGCAGCAGTCAGGCCCTCAGGCAAGCAGCACAGCTTTCTTCTCAGGCCCGCAGGTGCAAGGCTCTTCGGGTTTCACTCTTGCGTCTGAAATCCCGAGTTCGGGATCGTCTGTACCTCCCAAGATGGGAGTTTCCCCAGGCACTCGAGAGGTGTCGGGATTCAGGTCCGCAGGCTCAGAGGCATCGAACTCCGGCGTGCAGCCGGACGGCGTTTTTGTCGCATCAGCGGGTGCACCATGCATTCATGATTTCGATTCTCTTACAGCAGCACTGATCGCAGCAGTATGGCCGGAGCGTGCGGCCCCAGACCGTGCAGCAGCCTCAACTGCTCGATCGGATTCAGGTTATTGGAATTTCGGAGTTCAGGTTAGCCATAGGAACACTTTATCTAGCGTCACAGCAGCCTTGCCAGGACTCTGTAAAGAACTTAACCAATTTCTTCAGCAATGTTTTCCAGGTGAAACGTGGAACTCTTTGTGCGTCAGCAGGAACGTCTTAACAACCCCACACAGGGACTCGGCTAACTTGAAAAATTCCCTCAATCTTTCGGTGAGCGTCGGAAATTTTTCAGGAGGGCGTCTTTGGATAGAGGACCCCGAGGGTTCAGTCGAACAATTCATCCCTGCACTTGGCAAAACCCTCCTGGGGTCGTACACTTGCACTCGCCATGCCCCCAAAAAATTCCCCTGTAATCTATGGCACTGCACAGAGCCATGGCTGGGGGATAGATGGGTTCTCACCTGTTTTACCCTTCCTTCGGTTTCCCATTCAGGGCTCCCACAACTGGGTTTCCCCACTGTTATGCATTCGGGTTTAGCCCCACCGAAACCCGCACAGCCCGAACCCTCTGCCACGCAGGCGCATTCGACAGCAGTCACGCCTCCAGCATGCATTGAGCATCGACCGTCTCCAATCGCAGGTTCCCCAATCAACTGGGGCAAAGCTTCGCCTTTCGGATTTACTAATCATAGCTTGAAGGTAGTCCCGGACCCCCCTAAGCAAGTTCCTCGAGCCACCGCCATTCCCATTCCACAACAGATGGGATCAAGGATTTTCTTGGATCTTTGTTCGGGTCTAGAAAAGCCTCTGTCGCTAGCAGTCGCTGCTCTTAGCTTACCAGTGCTGTCCATTGACATTCTTTTGGACCCAACTATGGATATCTTGAACAACGACTTCTTTGAGCAACTTCTGTTTATCTGCGGTTCGGGTATAGTGGGGTATTGCGCCTCCTCTCCTTGCTGTTCGGAATATAGCCGTTTGAAACTTCGGGGTGATAAACCATACCCCATACGTACACCGCAATCTCTTGAAGGGCTTCCAGACATCCCCGCAGAGGCCCAATCCCGCGTTCAGGAAAGTCACGAGATGCTCTCTCGAGCATGTCAGTGCGCAAAAGTTGTGCACGCTGCAGGGGGCCACTCCCATGTGGAGCAACCTTTAGGAGCTATGTCGTGGGAAGAACCGTGTATGCAAAGCTGGCTTCATGCAGGTTCTGTCGTGCTAGTTCTGTGTGCTGCATGTGCTTTTGGGGCAAACTGGCAGAAGACATGGCTTTTTGCCAGTAGCTTCAAGACACTCGGTCTCATGGGCCAAACTTGCTCGCACGGGCGAGATGCTCACCCAGTGATGCAAGGTCGCTCTGTCTCAGGCGTCTTCCGGAGCAGATCCACAGCCAAATATCCGCAACCCTTGGCGGAAACCTTCGCATTGCACATCAGACCCCTACTCTCGGGTGATTCGGGCGATCACACCATAGCCTCAGCCTCAGCACTGATTCCGGTGAAGGGTATTCAAGCAGAGCCCTGGGTTCTCCATGACGGGGCAGGGCGTCACTCTTGTGGTGACTGGAGCAGCCCGTTGTGTTCCGACAAGCTTAAACCGCTTCGCACATACCTGCTCAGTTGTGTCGCTCGCCTGCAAGGGGACAAGCGTCTTCTTGCAAAAGCAGAATGGCCCAGCCCTGATCCATTATTTACACAGTCTGAGGTTTCCGAAGTTAGGCAGGGTTTTCTTGCGAGCTTGGGGTTGCAAAATAATGAACAAATGTGGCACATTCGAGAACACCAGCCCTTGGCTCTCCACATCTTGGAGAAACTTGCGAGCATATGCGGTGATCCAGACATCAGCTTGTTCCCAAGTTTGCAGAACGGGGTCCCTACAGGCTACAACAACGATATCCCGCCTTCTCACTGCTTTTGGCCAAACCAAAAGTCTAACGTTGAAGATGTCCCGTTGTCGATCCACATGCAGAACTGGCGCTCGGCATCGGTCGAGCCCTCAGTCACACAAGCGCTCCTGGATGAAGAAATCAATCAGGGTTTTTGCTACAAGTTCCAAGGGTCGTTAGCCGAAGCCAAGGCCAAGTGGCCAGCACTTGCGATAGGAAAGCTTTCAGTCGTTCGCGCTCCAGGGCGTGCAGAGCGATTGGTACTTGACAATTCAGTCTGCGGCACGAACGCAAATTGTGATGTCCCAGAGACTCAGCACATGCCGTCTGCCAGAGATGTTGTTAACAGCTATCCACTTCGCGAATGTAACGCTCGGCAATCAGCCATATCTTTGGACGTAAAATCAGCCCACAAAAGGGTTTTCGTCACACCAGCCGAGCATGGCTTGCTAGGGTTCTCATGGGATGATGCTTTGTACTTCTACCGCGTGGCACCTTTTGGTGCAGTCTTCGCCCAGCACTGGTGGGGCAGACTTGGATCGTGCATCCTTCGCATTTTGCATGTGCTTATCTTCATCAGCCACACAGGTCACTTATTTGTGGACGATTACCTGTTCTCGCAACTGGCAGCGATCATGCCAATGACAGGGGCTATGATTTGCCTGTTCTTTCAAGTCATTGGCCTTCCATTATCTTGGCGTAAACTTCAACTGCATAGTCGGGTCCAGTGGATAGGTTGGGACTTTGATTATACAGCGGGGGTAGTCTTGTTGCAGGAGCAAAAACGTCTCAAGTTGTTGGGGATGGTTCAGGATCTTCAGCGAAAACCAAAACTTTCCAAAAAGGATCTTGAACGCTTCGTGGGCCTGGCCCTTTGGGCTTGCCACTTGTTCCCTTCCATGAAAGCACTCCTTCACACATTTTATCACGACCTGTTCAGTCCAGCAGCGACGAACTACTCGATATCTCCAGAAGTATGGCACCAACTTCGAAACCACCTTACAGAGGATCTCAAATTCAAATCCGCCCCGCCAGGTACCGCCATTCCGCTTCACTCTACACTGCTATCGGTGCGGCACCAAAAACTGCAAAGCCTTTCAGATCTTGCCAGTGTTCGCATTACAGACAGACGTATCTGGATGCGCATATCCAGCCAATGCAGCAACAAGCGCCGCCTGAGTGCGGAGTCAGTGCGCATTCTGGGGCTTTATGAGTTGTGGTTACTTCACATGAGCCCTATGGTCAGCATGCGACCGGCAGCAGTGTTTCCAGTGGAAGCACAAGCGGACGCCAGTGCCCAAGGTCAACGGGCTTGCATTGGTGGGTTCGTGTCACATCCTGCATTAGGCCAAAGGTGGTTTAGGGAAGAATTCACATATGAGGAGTTCCGCGAGCTTCAGGTTCCCGTTCAGCAAGATATGCAGCTTGACATTGCGTGCTATGAAGCACTCGCTCAAGGGGCGCTGATTATCGCATCTTCAACCTTGATACCTTGCTCCAGAATCAAGCTTCGGACGGTCTCAGACAACAGTGGTGCGGAGGCAGGTGTGAATGCATCATTTACAACTTCACGCCCACTTGCATATTTCCTTGAACGCATCTCTCTGCTTGCTGCAGTGTATCGTACCACTTTGGATGTGTCTCACATACCGGGGGAGAAAAACACCAAAGCAGATGCACTGTCAAGACCGGGTGAACACGACATTCCCCCAGACTGCCTCGACTGTGACCGCATCAGGCTTCGCCTGAGTGATCTTTGGCTGCCTCGGCCGGCCATTTCCATTTCGCCCAGCGATGCTTCGCTGGCATGGACCGTGCGAGCCCCAGGAGTGCCGAACAACCTCACATAGTTTTGGGCTTTTCGAGAGCGAGGTTGCTGGGTAGTTGTTATTGGGCGAAACGTGCCACCCATCAACCTGGTTGTTTCGTTTGTTGTCTCACTCGACTTATGTGAGACAAATCGGCACTCCTGGAAAATACTACGTCTTTCAGGGCCTTTGAGTTTGGACTTAAAGCCTCCGGCATACCGCTAGCAAGCACAACTAAACCTATAGAACGATTTGTGTACTTGTTCACATCTGTTTTATAGTTTATGTGTGCGAACATTTTGGCTCACAGTATTAGTTGTGCTTGCTGGCGGTTTTTTCGAATTCCTCACCCTCCCGCCCTTATGCGGATTCACGACTGGCGCGTTGTAGGACCGCACAAGCTGTTTCACAAGGCACTGGCCAAAGAACTCGACAAAGACCTCGTAACAAGAAAACTGGGCCTTCGGGGCAGGCACGTCTCACAGTCCCAGTATTATCAGCAGCTGAACAGTGTTTTCTACTTGCAATTATCGCTTGTCTTGTTTATCTTACGCTTTTTGCTGCAATACACCGTGTCACCTCTTTCAAGAACCTCCGCAATGGTAATGCTTTAGCTTGGGCTTATATCCGTATCCTTTTGATTCGGGTCGTTTATGTCCTCTGCCAAAGGAGGTTCCTCGTTGCGACCACTAGGTTCTCATGCATCGCAAGTGCAAGTGCTCGCGCTGGTCCCACAGCAGTACTTCGAACTTATTCCGCCATTGCATTCGCAGATTGGTCATCCTGTACTTCGGGTTCTCTCGTCTTGCTACTGCTGTAACGACAGTTTGGATGGGGGGGCGAAACGTGCCACCCATCAACCTGGTTGT